CTGGGCTCAGGTGTGGGCTTTGGAAAAACTCAAATCCTACCTCCAATGACACACTTCCTCCAACAAAACCTATCCTCTCAAGTCTTCTAATTTTATCAAGAGTTCCAGTCTCTGGCAACTAAGCAAAATATTTGAGCCTATGACAACCATTCTTATTCAAACCACCACAGTGTGAGTGTTCTTCAGATCTGCAAATGTGACTATTGATAGAAACTTCCCATCTTGGAAAAAGTATTCATATTTGGCTCAATTTGAATTGATTTGAAATGAAATAATTGGGGTTTATAGAGGGCTGAAGTCCATGTTGATACTAGAAAATTTTAATCGTATTCCTTCTCAATATATAACATTGTCTATCAAATCTTCATTTGGTGTACAGAAGACCAATCCCAATTGGTAGATTCCAGATACAGTTGTTAGCCAGTTGCCAATCATAGACGTGGGAAACTATAAAGTCAGTCATGTGGGATATACTGGTCATGGTTCATCTTCATTATCAACCCGACTGGATTTAGAATCACTATGGAAACACATCTCTGAGTGTGTGGGAGGCTGTTTTCCAGAAGCGTCTGAGGTAAGAAGAACGTGGTCACCACCATTGTATGCAGTGAGGTGTTGGCTCAAATAAAAAGGAGAAAATAAATTGGGCACCCTTTGCATTTCTTTATTCTGATTGCAGATAACGTGTAACTAGCTACTTTGTTGTCAAAGCCTTCCAGACTGTGAGGACCGTATTCCCTAGATCGCTAAGCCCAAATAAACCCTTCCTCTTTTATGTTGCTGCTTGCAGGTATTTGTTCACAGCAACATATAAATTATATATTTAAAAACTTTTGTTTATCTGAATTTCAAACTTAGAGGAGCATCTCCTCTCCCCACCCCACCTCATGTCCCTGGAGGCATTTGCAAGATCTTAGGCTGTATTTTGATTGTCACAATTAGGGAGAATGGTGTTACGGATACTTTCGTGGACAGTGCCGGGATACTACTAAACGTTTTACATCCTCCAGGCAAATAATTGTTTGCTCTAATATATAAATAAGCAGAGAAACACGGAACTTAAAGGCCATCGACTTTCAAGGTTCCTGGGAGAGAGGCAGTGCAATTGTCTGAGTTTATCTTCAGTTTGAGTTAGAGAGAGGACGGTGTCTAGGCCTGGATGCCAGACCCAGAGTTCCTACGGCAGAGGATGAAGTCGCGAGGTCGAGAAGGTGGTGTGTGGCTATTCCTGCGTGTGGACTGTGCCGCACGGGGAGGCTAGGAGCGCCTCTGATGGACAGACACCTACCTCTGCCTCAGTGTAGACTACTGAGCTATCAAGGCTACCAGGCTGCGCAACACACCGGAAGCCGCCGGAGGCTAAGGCGTCCTTCTCCCTTAGCAACGCGCAGGGACGGAAGTGGCTGCGGCGCCACGCCCCCTGCGCCTGCGCACAGGCGCGGCCTGCTGACGTGGACCTGGCAGCTGGGCCGAGCCCGGCGCCGAGGAGAGCTGCTGCGGCCGCTGTGCCGGCAGAGCGGCGAGTGAGGCGGGGATGGCGGCGCGGCTCGCTTCGCGCGGGGTACACGGAGCTGCGGGCCAGCGCTCATGGCTGCTGCTGGCGCCGCTGCTGTTGGTCCCGCTGCTGGCGCGGCCCGCCGAGGCCCTGGTGGAAGGGCTGTACTGCGGCACGCGCGACTGCTACGAGGTGCTGGGTGTGAGCCGCTCGGCCAGCAAGGCGGAGATCGCGCGGGCCTACCGCCAGCTGGCCCGGCGCTACCACCCCGATCGCTACCGGCCGGAGCCTGGGGACGGCCCCGGGGGTGCGCCGCCGAGCGCCGAGGCTTTCCTGCTAGTGGCGACCGCCTACGAGACGCTCAAGGTGAGGCTCGCGGGCGCAGATGGGTGGCCGAGGATTTGTCTCCCAGCCGGGTAATCAGGTTCTCTACGATCCCGGCACTCTGCCGCCGCCTGGACCTTTAGGAGGTCCAGGTTTCCCACGTGGCCGTGAGAAAGAGCCACCTCGGCCCATTAGCCAGCATGGCCACCTCCTCGAGGACAGTTTTGGAGGACAGCCAGTTCTGTTTTTGGACAGTTGTTATGCAAAGCTTTGCACTTATTTTATTTTAGTGTAAAAAGCGTTCTGATAATTTGAGGTGCATGCTCGGGAAACAGAGTGATGTCGGTGCTAGAATTTGGGATAGGACGGAGGACAGAAAGATCTGAAGTAGTATTAACTGATCGTGCCAACTTGATAGGGCAGAAGTTTGGCCTCTGGGATGATGTCAATGATGACATTTAGCTTAGGTCTAAAGAACTAGAAAAACACAAAAACCAGTGAACTTTCAGTCCAAAGGCTGGACTATGACCTTTAGCTCTGACACCCCACCACCACCACCACCACCAAGTGACCTTGGATAGTTGTTTCTTATATCCATTTAATGACTTGGGGCAGAAGATTGAGAATTTCTAGTAGGAAAAAAATTTTTTGGATGTGTGTAGTGACCTGTCAACGGTTTTATTGTGTGCTGTGGATGTAGGGGGATTTAGCCTGGCACCCTTTTCTTTGATTACTGCAGTATATGCAAGAAATCACCTGTTTTAAGTCGTGCCTGATGGCAGTATTTCTGTTTCAAGAGCCCCGTCGGGAGACTGCAGCAGCAATCATAGCCGTGTTTCTTTTGTAGGTTTTTTTGTTTTGTTTTCCAGCCTGCTTGCAATGACTACTTTGGATGACTGTATTATCCTTGACAGTGGATTAGTCTTCCAGATTAGCTTTACAGAGTTGAAAATTCTGAGTCAAGTCCTTCTCTTTCAGGCTTAGAGCAGTTTGACATTTGGAGCTATTAAGAGCTTCACTTACTAAATTCTCACCAGCCACTGAAATTACAGTTTTATTGGCATTCCGTTGAGGTATAGGTGAGTGGTCAGAAAGGGGCTGAAATTAGAGGGCTTAGTCCCCGTTATTAAAAGAAGAGTGATTGAGAGAACAGGCTTCAGAAAAACCAGAAAGAACTTGCTCCACCCGGAATAGCCCAGCACATGGACCCCAAGCTGTTTGCTGAGGAATGTGTGGGTCTATACTGCTGACCTTCTAAAGGCCTCGTGGGAGCCGGACGCCTTTAATCCCAGCACTTGGGAGGCAGAGGCAGGCGGATTTCTTAGTTCGAGAGTTCGAGGCTAGCCTGGTCTACAGAGTGAGTTCTAGGACAGCCAGGGCTACACAGAGAAACCCTGACTCGAAAAACCAAAACAAACAAAAAAAAAAGCAAAGGCCTCGTGGTGCACTAGGGGCTCTGCTGAGAGAGCTTCCTGAACAGAGAGGAGCAGAAGCACTGCTGTTGCCTTCGCCTAGGGTTTGTGGGGCAGGAGATGGGTAGGTATGTTTCGCGTGGGAAATGTTGAGCCTGTTCTTAAGAACTTTGAGAACAAGTGCCAGGACTAAAGTGTAGTGACAGCAGATGACATTCTCAGTGGAAGGACTCCTAGGACTCAAAATAGTTTTGCCATTTTCTAGGAGATACTGTTTCTGAGGCCTAATCTGGTTGTTCAGGGTGGTTGCTTCTAAAGGTTTCTACCCTAAAGTTTAGAACTGATTTATCAGCAAATAAAAAGCTAGGTAAAACAATGTGTCCACTCAAGAACAAGGGGCTTCTGGGCAGTTTTAAAGCTAGTGTGTTGTCTTGCCTGGTGGTGCACATCTTTATTCCCAGCATTTGGGAGGCAGAGACAGGTGGATCTCTGAGTTTGAGGCCAGCCTATTCTACAAAGCAAGTTCCTGGATAGTTGGGCTACACAGAGAAACCAAATAAATAAATACCACCACCACCACCCTCAAAAATAACAACAACAACAACAAAGCAACCCTAAAGTATCTAGAGAAAGAAACATTTGACTTGACTCTGACAAGGTAAACACCTTGTAGTAGCTCCAAACATCTCCTGGGAACTAGAAACGATTGGCACTTGTGGAGAAAGGCCCTGGGGAGCTTTCCTAGCTCCAGCTCCCAAGCTGCACTACCAACAAGACACAGCAGAACTCTGAAAGTACCTATGTAGAATTTACATCTGAACATAGCTTCAGCTTCTCAATGGAGCACTGAAAGGATCTCCTCTGCTCATTATATTGCCTTCACCTGCAAAAGGACTTTAAAATACTGTGGCGTTGAAGACAGGTTACCTGATGTGTATTTCTGTCATAATGGAGAACTGAGAAACTTGTCTGAGAATACCACTTCTGAGTAGTACAAAGACTTATAAAGATGCTGTCCAGTCTGGAGGAGCAGCTTATCTTCCTGTTACCCCACCGAGACCATGCAGATGGAATCACTGTTTTGTTTGTATTATATCCTTAGTATGGAACAGGAATTTGTGGGGAATAAGAAATCTAGATGGACTTTGCTAGGAACTGGTCAGGCAGTCTGGTAGGGGAACTTGAGTTCCAGTGGCTCTAGGCTCTAGGATAAAAAATGACACACAGAAGTCTGTCCCTAAATGTTGAGCGTAAGTGTATCTTCAACATGAGAACTGCGTTTGTGTTAAGATGTCAGTGGATTTGTGATTGCGGGGTTGTTTGCTTATATAAATGCCCCTTTTGAGAGCAAGGTGGGCTTTGTTTCCTCCCCTACTGATTTTGTATTAAAAATAAGTACAACAAGATTTAAGTACAATTAATGAGACAAGAAGGTAAGAGACTTGATCGTTACTAATTTAGCAACAAATGATCTCACCTGTGCATGAGGAGATTGGAGAAAATCCAGAGAAGAGGTGGGTGGTGGAGGGCAAAGGCAGATGCTTATGCAAGGTTATGTTTGGTTCCTGTTAGCAAGTCCTTTACAGTTCTGGGTCACGACATGACTCAAGACAGTTGTGATCTCACATAGTGCTGCATGAGTTAAGCTAGTGCACTGTGTTATGCTTTCTGGGCTGTTGGGGATTGAGAGAAATCCTAGATTTTGAAAGTCCGTGGACTGACTCACTGGCTCAGTCAGCACTGAGTCTCCCGAGGTGGAACACTCTAGGCCGGCCACGGGTCCTGCTGTGGGTATAGCACTTATCACACTGAGTGTAAGTTTCAGGAGCCCTTCTCTTGCACTAAACGTGCCGTTTGTCACGTGTATCCACAGGACCTAGCACAATGCCTGGCACATCAGATAGTGAATATGAGTTAGACTCTTGTTTGGAGACGGTTCGGATAGGATGGAAATTGGAACTGCTTCTGCCATTTCGACACGGTTATGTGCAGCCTACTTTGAGGTTTCACTCAAACTGTGATTTTAGAATGGTACAAATGATATGACCGGACAGCTGTGTGTGAAGCATCCTAAATGAGAGGGAACCTGTGCTTTCCACTTTTAACATTTTTAGGGCTTTAAAGTGAGAGCAGAAATAACTGTGAATGTAGGTAAAACAATTGGATAAAAAACAGGAAATAGCACAGAGTAAGCAGATGCAGGGACATCCAGAAAAGATTCAGTTAGAACAATGATGGTTGGTAAGAGATGAAAAAGTAGACTTTGACAACATTTCACAACATGACAAGAACAGAAAAGGTCACAGGAATATTCTGGTGTGAAGGTTATCTGATTAAAAGTTAGAGTTGTGTAAAGAGATTAGACCTGTCTTGGAATCGAGGCGTCACAAGAACAATGCTTGGTTTTCTTTTTATCAGTGACTGAGATGGCAGAACTCCTAGCACTTAGAATTTGGCAAAAGGAGGATTTTGTGCTCCCTGCCCTGTGCTATGACTCACTGCTGGTTTCTTACTGAGATTTCTAGCTCCATCCTTTCCTAAGCTGACACAAGGTGCTAGGGAGGAGATGAGGAGGCAATGGGAAGTACAACTCTCTCTCCTTGTTTTTTTGTTTTATTTTCAAACCAAGAATTGAATTTTGTATATGAGCTATATGCCCAGAACTTTTTTTTTTTTTTTTTTTTTGAGATAAGGTCTCACTATGTTACTCTGGCTATCCTGGAACTCTATGCAGACCAGACTGGCCTTGAACTCACAAAGATTCTACTAACTCTGCCTCCTGATTAAAGGCTGTGCCACTATGCTGGTCTAGACTATTTATTTATTTATTTATGTTTGGCTTGGTTTGGAGTCAGGGTTTTATATACCCGAGGCTGGCTAGTCTCAGACTCTTTTTGTAGCTGAGGGTAACCTTGAACTCCTTATCCTTACGACTTGGCCTCCCAAGAGTTGGGTTTACAGACTGTTCCATGACACATACCCATCTCTGTTTTTCAATTTTAATTTTTAAAAAGAGATTAATTTTGACGCAATGTCCATCTTAGTTACTCAGGCCTTGAACTCACTGCATAGCAGACAGATCTCTAACCTTGAACTCACTGCATAGCAGACAGATCTTCAACCTTATCGTCAGTCTTCCTTCGTCTTCCAAGTAGCTGAGATTACACGTTTGAGGCCCCAGGGTCAGCTTGACTTGAAGCTTTTATTTAGAATAGGGAGACAGATCCTTATTGTGTGGTCATACTTTATGTAAGTTATATACCACAGTTCATATTTCAGTGTGAGAAGGAAGCAATTATTCTCGGGGGATTAGAGACAGATAAGTGGACCCAGTGAGCAGGATCCAAAGGAAAGTCACCGTGGTTGACAGTGGAGGCATTCCTGACAGAAGGAAAACTTGAGTAACAGAAGTGCAGAATCAAGTGTTTGAGGTTCTGGGAGGGAGATACCTTCCCCCCTCCACCCCCCAGACTGTTTTAGGGAGAAAAAGTTGACTACGCTTTTTAACATTCCAAATCTTTACAGTTATGAAGATTTTAATCATCGATTCATAGGAATTAGTATAATTAGCTGTCTGTGCCCATGGGTTCTTCATTCAGGGATTCAGCCAAACTTAGATGCAAAATATCT